CAATTGTTCTGCTTAGCAGCAGCACTGTTACTGCTATGCTTAGCATCAGAACAAGTTAATTTGGGAGCACAATCTCCTTAAAGGAAATGTTGCTCAGCACAGCATCCTAAGAGTTCATGTGGTGAGATGCCCTTTTCAGTAAATACAAACGGGGAATTCTATTTGAAATTTATTTTTATGCTATTAAAATCCGTATTTCCAAGTCTCTTACTGGCATCTTGCTGAAAACTGCCATGTCTGACTGTTATAATTGGTTCAATCACTTCCTGGTTTAATATTAGCTTCATCAGCAAAGTAAGATTTTGCTGGTTTAAAGATGAGATTTCCCTTGAAGTGTCAAATTCTTTTCCTTCCAGTGCCTTTGGTCAAAGGTGCTGTTCTCAACTGCCCCTTCACACAGATAAAAGGTTTGCTTCAAAACAAAGGACCAGATCCTCAGGTGGAGTAGGAAGGCAAAACTCTGTTGCAGTCAATAGAGGTGCCTAGATACATAGTGGCTGAAGATCTAGCCAAACATTTATAAATGGCATACTGAAATGTGATAATAACTAAGCAGGGAGACTTTTAGAACTCATACTATGTCTACACTGGCACGATCTTGCGCCAAAGTGGCTGCTCTTGTGCAAAAACTTGCTGCCTGTCTACACTGACCGTATGTTCTTGCACAAGTAAACTGACATTCTTCTGTATAAAATCAGGGCTTCTTGCGCAAGAACTATGATGCTCCCACTCAAGAATAAGCCCTCTTGTGCAACTGTTCTTGTGCAAGAGGCCAGTGTAGACAGGCAACATGAATTTCTTGCGCAAGAAAGCAATATGGTTAAAATGGCCATCAGAGCTTTCTTGCGCAAGAGAGCGTCTACACTGGCATAGATGCTCTTGTGCAAAAGCACATGCCAGTGTAGACGCTCTCTTCTGGAAGAGTTTTTGTACAAGAAGCTGCCAGTGTAGACGTAGCAATAGGGCGACAGCTTTGTTGAGGCCACTTTGAATCACAGCTGCAGTGCAAAGCAGCCCTAAAGTTGGATTAACTGCCACAGGAGGATCACATTAGTGTAGGGTTCTCCTCCTATGGCACAGAGCTATCATGATGCCTCAACTCTCTTTGTAGCCAATGTAGGGGACAAGAGTATGAGAAAATGGATGTGGCCAGGGCTTCCCGATGTCTCAACAATCCTCAGTTGCCTTAAAAACTCTTTGGGACAATTGGTGGTCTGAATAAAGTAGATCAGCCTTTAAGCTGCTCTCATGTATGCCAGGGGACCAGCCTGGTGCATAGCCAGTCTATAATAAAGGTACTGCAAAGATAGCTTAAAGCCTCTTTTGCATGCAACACTGCCTTACACTGTGCACTTCTCAGTTGCAAGGGCCTTACCTTCCCTCTCCATGGGAAGTAATTCCTGAGCTGGATGAAATAGTATTTTGACATCACATTTGTGTGTGTGTGTGTGTGTGTGTATGTGTGTTAGTGTTAATGCTTGCAATATTTCACAACAAAACAAACACAAGTGAGCAGGCTCTACAGGGCTCTCATATGCACACAGGGCTGGTGACCTTCCCAAGAAAACAGGTGAGAAGGGAGCCTTTCTGCATCTTTACTCCCCTGTCTAGCTGCAGTGAGCTAGTTACCATTTGGCCCTAGATCCTTATTCACTGAAGCGGGCTGAGTGAAAGTTGAATAAACATCTCAGAATTTGGACCTAGAACATTTGAGAGGAGAGAGGGTAATGTGCAATACAGTGAAGGTAGCCCTTTGGCATTCTCAGTTCCAAAAGGGACTGAAATTCTAGTGGATTTTAAAAGGGTCAGTTTTACAACAGGGACAGTAATACTGAGCCCCTTATATTAAACACGGACTACAAGAACAAACTCGGGGACAGCTTCTACCATACTGACTCAAGCTGTGTGGCACCCTAACTACATCAGTACCCCATTTTCTTCCGTGAGGATACTCACAGAAGAAAGTACCAAATGGGTTCCTAAATCAAACCTTAAATAAATGATCCAGCATAGCGCTGTCTACCCCATCTACCTAGAACTCCTTAAATAGTAAGGTAAAACCCTGTGGTGAAGAGCAAAGGTTTTCACCATTAGTGAGAAAAGTAAAAGCAATATAGCAGGCTCCAACACTTGGGGTGCTTCTATTACGCTCTCTTACTATGCATAAAGGCAGGTACTTGATCTTGACCTCAGACTGCCACTAAGGGAACACTGCTAAAGAACTAAAGCAGACTCAGGGTATGTCTACACTACAGCGCTAATTCAAACTAATTTCATTCGAATTAGTTAATTCGAACTAAGCTAATTCGAACTAACGGATCCAGACTAAAAAACTAGTTCGAATTAGCGTTTTGCTAATTTGAACTAGCATGTCCACACAGAGTGGACCCTGAACAGAGGTTAAGGATGGCCGGAAGCAGTGGACTTAGAGCGTGGAGCTGCTGTCTCAGGCTAGCCGAGGGCTGTGCTTAAAGGGACCCGACCCCCACCCTGGACAGACAGTTCTCAGGGTTCCCCGCTTGCAAAGCAGTCCTAGCTTGGAGTGCCCTGAGTGCCCACACGCGGAACATCACAGCACTCGGCCATCAGCCCGGCTGCACTTGCTGCAGGCTGCCATCCGGGGGGAGGGGACAATCGGGGGGCTGCAGGAGAGGTTCCACCCCCAGAAGCCCGTAGAGCCAGCCCAGTCCTCCCCATCGGGGGCGCGTACCCCATTCCTTCCTCACCTCCTTCCACTTACTCTTCCCTAGCCCCCCTTCCTGATGTACAAAATAAAGAAAACGTGTGTTCAAAAATAGAATCTCTCTTTATTGAACAAAACTGGGGGAGACTGGGAAAA